GAAGCTACCTATTTCCATTCACAGTTTCACACTGATACTTAAGATCTGGATTTATGGTGCAGTGGTTACAACTTTTAGTAGTATTTACTGCCATTTGCACTCTAGACTTGTCTCACTCCCTCCTTTTGGGTAGGGAAATGCTGTTTTAAGCTGTAGGTTCAATCGTCCTAAATCTGTAAAGGTATGCCATTTTATTTATATTGCTTTATATGTTTTGGGGATGTATTTTTACATTGCTACATCAAAGACAGTGTGAAATATTGCTTGAATATGCCAAAGCAGTCATTTTCTTTCTAACATGAAGGAAGAAATCTTGTGACGAAAGTAAATCTGTGTCATGCTACTATTTACTGGGATAGTATTTACAAACTGCCTTTTCCTTCAACAGAATCAGAACTTATTAAATTACTAATTAGTTTGTTCTCAAATGTGAAAAAGATGACTTTTTGAAAGAAATATAACAACGCACTGTTCCTTTCCTTTTATGTGCAGGTTGATGACATTGGGTTTTCTTTGAATCATCCTAATCAGTATTTTGTAGAGAGTCAAAGGCTATTAAGCGGTGGTAGAGAACCGAAGAAGGAACTAAGTAACTCAGGAAACTCTCAACAAAAGAATAACAGTCAGGAAAGCACGAATTCAAATTCTACTCCCACCTCTTCAAATACAACAGCTGATGCAGAACTGGAGGGACTGGAGGCATACTTCACCGAAGACTGAGCAGCTGTGCTATTCGGGGTTTTTTTTGTTTGCTTTGGTTTGTTTTTTTTCTTTCTTCAATTCTTTCCCTTCTCTAGCTGAATTTGTCCCTATACTAAGGAATATGCACTTCACTACCTGGAAGACACAGGCATTTAGTGCTTTGAATAGGCTGAAGGAAAGAAAGATACTGAAGCTGTAATTTCATCCAGTACTTACTCTTGCTGCTTTAGGATGCTGTTTTACATGGCATGTTGAAGGATGGGAAATGAAAGTTCCTTCCCAATTATTGTGTTATTTTTGTCTGACTTACCTTTTTTGGTTTTCTTCAAAACGTTTAAATATTTTTATCCCACTTTGTGGTCACTTTTATATGTTTCTTCCTAATAAATATGTTGCGAAGCAAAAGTTTGTGGTATTTTCTTTTTAGCTGTATTTGGATGGTGATTAAGTAGGAGGATTTACGATCAAAATTGCCCTCTGGAGGAGTGAGTCTGTCTCTTTTCTACATAAGGAGCTGCTGAGGGAAATCAGCTTCCCAGTTTGTGTACCTTGACACTAAATTTAGAGAGCTGGTTTGGGTGCTTGAAATAGAACATATGCAGAGTTTAGACACCTGTATGTAGGAAGGTAATCCAAAAAGCTGATGCTCTACCAACTGACTCATCTTGAAGAAGTGGAAAACTTATTAGTGTATATTTCTTTTCAATTTTGAAGTTTCCTCAGTGTCTCAGTGTGGCTGGAGCCTCCTGTGTCCTGCTAAGGTAAACAGCTGGCTGAATGCAGCTTGGGTCACCTAAATTCCACCCATTTGCCCAAGGCCCAGGTCACCTAACTCGTGAACGGCCTTCAATAGAGCAGCTGCAACTGTGCAGTGGGTGGAAAGCTCTAAGAAGAGCTGGTATTTTATATCATGCTGTTAGAGTATTCTCCTGGGGATTTGTAAGGCCTGAATTTTATTTTACCTGATACCTAAGGAGTCTGAAAGACATTGCCTCTTCCCTGGAGAGTGACCTAGCAACCGATGCAGCCCTGTAACCACATAAACCCAGTATTGTCATTGCTAGTAACCTGTATTAACTCTGCAAGGTCTTAGCACGAAGACTGAGCTTGATTTTTCTGGGCTTATCTTGACCTGCCTTAAGCTTTGTTTTAGCCTTAACAGCAACTGTGAAACGACAGCCTCACTTTGTACAATTGTGTGGTGTACTGCCTATGTTTATAATCATTTTGTTATATTTCTGTAGCTAATGGCTAGTAAGTTATAAATAGTTATTTTGTGTAGAATCAATTAATCTATGATCTTAGGTGCCAGAGGCCCCATGGATATAGACAAATCACCCATGGCCAGGTGCTGATCCTTAAAGAAATACAAGCTAGAGTTGTGCAAAACACATTTTTAGAGGTAAGAGATAAAAGAACAAATATGCAATGGAATAAACCACACTAGATATAATTATTTGGCTGTAATGTGGAATTGCCAGACCAATGAAGAAAGAACGGTGAGTAGAACATTTTCGGGAATGTTTTACCTCAGGTGGACACTGGGGAGAAGAAGGGACAATCCCCACCCTCAGCATCCTACTACTGCTGATGAACAACGTGGGACCCGACTTGTTTGCTCTGTGGAAGAGGGTGCTGCTGATCCCAGGACCCCAGGGGGCAGTGGAAAGGTGTGTGCAACGCGAGAGAAAGGGATAGGTACAAGGGAGTGCGTGAGTATACAGCATGTGCTAGTTGTATTATGTTAGAGGTTTTATTTTCTCAACAATAATTGACTGATTTAGGCTATTAATATGTTAATATTTTGGACTAATCATAAATTGGTGGCTTCTCATACACGGAGTGTAGCTTTAAGGGTACCTAACTTGCACAGGGCTAGTGCAGCACCAGGCTTTAAAAATAAACTGTATCATTTGTTGTTGGAAGAGGATCTGCCAGGATTCACTGTTCCTCAGTTGGACACTGAGGAATTGTTTGTTCTCTAGGGTTTTAAACTCTTACTGCTTTGTAATTTCAATGAGAATCATTTCTTCCTTAATTACTGAGCTGTTTGAGATTGGAAAGGCAAAATCCCTAAGGATGTGCAAATCTTTTGTTTGAAAACATTTCCTACATTGTAATAGTGCTATTAAAAAATTCTGTTTAGTCAGAAGGTAAGGGTTCTGAAAACCAAGTGACCCTGACATGATGATGGAGTAGTCAAAAATAACACCAAACAAAAAAACCCTCAAATCCCCAAACCGTACCCTTTTACAAGTTCAATAGAAAATATCTTTTTACAGTAAAGCGTTGCATGTGGATCTGTTTGCCAGCATCAGCTCTCCTTCTAAGTGTCTCTTTAAAGCAAACTTCTGTTATATTTTGCAACTGGAAAAAAAAAATGAAAGAGGCAAGCATCTGAAGTTTGAAGCTGTTCTGGACAAGACACTTTGGTATTCTGGGTCAGTGAGCAAGATATGAAGATAATTATGAAGATAGTACTTGGTTGTATTTCTGAGAGGATGCACAAAACTCTGCCTGTTGCCAAAAGAGAGCCCTGCGCAGCCACGGTGTTCATGTGTTTACATGAACTGTTGTTTACAACATCTGATCTTAAATGTACCACAGTTAAATTTAGAGGAGGGTGTTTCAAAAGGAACGCCGATCCATAGCTTGTAACCTTTTGAAGTGCTAGCATCAAAGACAATAAAACAGTCTCTGACTTCAAAGCCTTTCAAGATCTAACAAAGAAGGGAACTTTACTATTGGGTGGTCTGCAGAAGGAAGGAGCGGCAGAGGGAACTGAGGTTGTTTGGTCTGGAGAAGAGGAGGCTTGAGGGGAGACCTTATCTCCCTCTACAACTGCCTGAAAAGAGGCTGTAGTGAGGTGGGGCTCAGCCACTTCTCCCAAGTAACGGGTGATAGGACAAGGGGAAACGGCCTCAGGTTGCCCCAGGGCAGGTTTAGGTTGGACATTAGGAAAAATTTCTTCAGAATGGTTGTCAGGCACTGGAATGGGCTGCCCAGGGAAGTGGTGGAGTCCCCATCCCTGGAGATATCTAAAAGACAGGTGGATGAGGTGCTTAGGGACATGGTCTAATGGTGGGATGGCAGGGTTAGGTTAACGGTTGGACTGGACGATCTTAAAGGTCTTTTCCAACCTAAATGATTCTATGATTCTGTGAAGGGTGAGGACCTCACAAGTTGTGTGCAACTTGCAAAGTGCTCTTGCTGAGATGAGGAGCGCTGCCCTGGCAAGGGGAACAGCGAGAGCAGCCAGTACCGTGACACGGCAGGAGCAAAATGGTTGGTGGGGGGCACG